TAACAAAAACAGCGAGAGAACTGCCGTGAAGAACAACCCAGAGAATTACCATGAATGAAAACATCTTACACAATTATCATGAACAAGAACATCCCACACAACTACCATGAACAAGAACATCCCACACAACTACCATGAACAAGAACATCCCACACAACTACCATGAACAACATCCCACAGTACTACCATGAACAACATCCCACAGTACTACCATGAACAAGAACATCCCACAGTACTACCATGAGCAAGAACATCCCACAGTACTACCATGAACAAGAACATCCCACACAACTACCATGAACAACATCCCACAGTACTACCATGAACAAGAACATCCCACAGTACTACCATGAACAAGAACATCCCACACAACTACCATGAACAACATCCCACAGTACTCCCATGAACAACACCACCACAGGTACTCCCATCCCAGTACTACCATGAACAGAACATCCCACACAACTACCCAACATCCCACAGTACTACCATGAGCAAGAACATCCACAGTACTACCATGAACAAGAACATCCCACACAACTACCCATCCCACAGTACTACCACAAGAACATCCCACAGTACTACCCACAGTACTACAAGAACATCCCACACAACTAAGACACATCCCACAGTACTACCATGAACAAGAACATCCCACAACTACCATGAACAAGAACATCCCACACAACTACCATGAACAACATCCCACAGTACTACCATGAACAAGAACATCCCACACAACTACCATGAACAACATCCCACAGTACTCCCATGAACAACACCACCACAGGTACTGCCATGAGGAAGGTCTTGGGGGCAGCGGTGTGTGACTGCCATGAGAAACAGGTGGAGGGAGCGGCGTGTGACTGCCATGCGTGATGTGTGTGACGTGTGTGCGGGTGATGCGGCTGTGACACTGAGGTGGTCCCCGCGTGTACTGATGAGCTCCCCCCCTTGACAGATGAATGTTTTGATATGGATGTGTGTGTCAGGGGCCGGCTGTGAGAAGGGTTAAATGTGTGTGTGTGTGTGTGTGTGTGTGTGTGTGTACGTTTCTATATATAAACATTGGTCGACTAAAGTAAAACAAACGGTAATTTTGTGTTTGTGTGTGTGTGTGTGAGAGAGAGAGAGAGAGAGAGAGAGAGAGGCCTCAAAG